AAAAAAAAAAAAAAAAAAAAAAGAGAAAAGGAAAAAAGAGCAGCATGCCTAGACCCCTTCATCAGAGAGGCAAGGACAGCCGCAAGGTCCAGCATGTGGGAATTCAAAACGTATGCCGCTGCTGCCGCTTCTCTGCACCGCCTCGCCTCGTCCTGTCCGCTTGAGCACGAGGGACACGCAGCAGGTGCACCTTTCGCATAGACTTTCAGTGCGGCGGACGTGGACTCTTCCGTTATTCCAAGCCCGAGCTTCTTTGATCAGTTCTACAGGTGCCCAGCAGACTCAGAGAACAGCATACGAGTGGGTGCAGCGTGAGGAGAGACTGGAGTTGAGGTTCACTACAGTCAGAATTGTGCTGCGAGGTGATGTGGGGCGGCTACATGTGCGCACCGAGGTGGCTGGTCTGCAGGTCTCGGATTTCCAAGCCCTCGTCGATCCATCGAGCGGAACGAGGCGGGCAGGCGGGCTGCGAGGCAAATCAGGCAGAACAGGGTTTGGAGTGTGCAGAAAACGGCGAGGTGCAAATCCTTGAGCTGCGTGTCCCACGATGGTTGCAGCGACGTCGGCGCGCGGGACGCGGTTGCAGGTCCAGCGCACCAGCCAGGAGCAGGCCCGGCCAAGCCAGGGCGCAAGACGCGCTGGGCTGACCAACGCGGGCTGCTGACGTGCGGGCTGGCGTCGCCTGCTGGGCTTCGCCTCCTCGATGCAAGGCGCAGTCATGCATCTGCCTCGCCTCGACTCGCCGCGCCGCGCCGCGCTGCTTCTGCTATTTCCGACCGCGCGACATTCCAGCCTGTCCACTGGCCAAGCCGACGGACGAGTCCAAACAAAAAAAAGAAATCGCCAGCATCGGAGCCAAAAAAAAAAGAAAAGAAAAGACGCAACACCACAGCAGCTGAGAGCGAATTGGCTGGAAACCGGTGCCAGCTTCCCGGCCACTAAACAAAATTTCTCAAATTCCCAACTCAGCCAGCGAAAGTGACAACTGCCATCGGCCTCGTTTGCTCGACTGCTTCTGACCGGTCAAAAGGCGGCGCAAAGACATGTGGCGATCAGGGCGGGATCCATGACGATGACGATCGCGGCCGAATGACGGATGAGGGTCGAGAATGTGCTGCCAGCATTTTATCAGCGGGCTCGCTAAAGTTGGAGCGTGGTTGTCCACGCTTTAGACGCCGAAGCTGAAGCACTTGCCCTGCGGAGCCAGGAGTGCAGCCGAGATGGGCATTACCGTGCAAGCGAAGCCGGCTGGGATGTACAAGTCCGACGCTCGCACCACACTGCGTCGGTTGCCAACAAACAGAAGCAATCTACGTAGTGCCGATGGCCGCTTTCTCGAGCGTCTCCACATGCTGGACTGTAGACCAATCATCATCCGCCGGACCAACGGCGACCCCTTCAGGTGGGGGAGAGGTGCACACGAGTACTAAGCCAGCTTCCCAGCCCGAGTTGCGATGCAATGCAGCGGTCTTTGAGTCGAATCGCTCGAGCGCCATGTGCTTTCTGCGGATGCCGGCCCGCGATTGCGCTTCTGCGGCCTGATACCGCAGGTTTGATCGCCTGGATTGGCAAACCGCCACACCGGTCTGCTCATCACAGCTGCTCTGCATGTCTGGCGTCGAATTCGAGACCACAAGCGGCACTACCTCTGAGAGATTCGGGCGATGCCTAAGATGGCTCAGTGACGCTGTGCTATGAGCCTGCGATGGGCACTTCCCCACATTGGGGCGAGAGGCGGCCCAGCTGCCTTGTATCGGGTGCGACGGATCAGAGACAGTGGTCACAGCCAGAGACACTGCCCGAGACGAGACAGAGGCGTCGAGAGCCCTGGCTGAAACCGAGAGCGGTCTTGGTGAAATAGCAGCCAAGCAGTCCAGCAGTCAACCAGCAGTGCATCGCACCACGGGCCCAAGACTGCTGATGCTAGACTGCGAGACAAGCGGCCTGGCACGCTAAAGTCGCCTCCTCAGAGCTAGATGCGTCTGCTGGCGGCTAGACCAGCAAGCCTGCCTTCAGAGCACAGGTCGCCCTGGGCTCCCCGTGTCTCGACTCGACATGTCTCTGATGGCTGTGCTGCAGTGTCCAGTCCGAACTTGGCAGGCAGCACCTTGCGTGCGCCTGCTGCGAGAGACACTCTAGTGCAGCCGGGTCCATTCCGCAAAAAAGAACCGGTCACATAGAAGGGCTGTGCTTCGAAACTCTTTGCCGTTGTGCGGAGACATCCTCGAGGATGGATTGACCGCACGACGACGATCCGGATCGTCAGGACCCGAGACTCGCTTTGGCACGTTTAGCAAAACCGATAGCAAATCGAGCGTTCTGAGCGCAGACCCCACGTTTTCTTTCGAGGCATTTCGAGCCGATCTGCAACGACGATGAAGCCAGCAATGATCTTCATCCGGTAGCGTGGACCAGGTCGGGTGATGGAGCAAGGCCAAACTGAGACCAAGGGCGACGCGTAGCTTGCCGCTGCCGCCAGCAGGCTGCAGCACGTCAGTCTCGGGGCGGAGCCTGGAATTCCAGTCCATGACAGCTCGCGAGGCGGTCGCTGTCTCACAAATGCCTTCGCCGCTCCTCCGCTGCTTTGTTCTTTTTGGGTCCTGTCTCCGCCCTTGAACAGCGATTTTCGAAAATCGAAAATCGAAAAATCAAACACCAAAAACCTCCTTGTGATGCAAGGCCGCCGATTTTGGCTGGGGACCGCGGAATGTGGCGACGACGGCGGCAACTCGCGTTCAGTATGCTGAAGGATCCAGCATGGATGCGGAAGGACAATCTGTACCTCTTTCACCTCGAATCTGATGCTCTTTCCAGAGTGGGAACGACAGAGAGCAAGCATGATCACCTTATGACGATGATGCGAACAAGTCGCTGACAGTATGCAGGGTCGGCTCGCTTTCGGAAGCGTCCTCCGTCAGCGAAGGCCGGAGGCGATATGGTACGCTGCTTTCGTGCGTTGAAAAGCGCGACTGGCGGAAAATCTCCTGTTTGGGGTTGCGGCGGCTCGCCCTTCCCGGTGCGACTCGGCTAGACAGCGCTCCTGTGGTCAGGCCTGCCAACGGCCTAGTCAAGGCTGTTGGCAGTATCTCGACGAATGTCAGCCTGGTCGGCTCCGAACGCAAAGCAGGCAGTCCGGCGCCGGCTCTGTAAAGGACTGGCTGGCTGGCAACGGTGTCCCGGGTTCGTCGCGCAATCGGTCCCAATGGCCCACTGCCGGCAAAGAGCGACAGGGCACGACGTGCGTGTCGCCTACCTCGCAACAGGCCTGCCGGATCGAAGCGAGGGCCGTTACGGCGATCCGGGCGCCGCTGCCAGTGCAACGGCTACGCCGAAGGGACGACAAGAGCGGATTACTCGGAGCGTCGCGCTAAGCCAGGCTACGCTGTGCTGCGCTCATTGGGAAGCCCGCGTTGGGCGGAGAGCGAATCCCCAACGGTCCCGGGTGACAGATTCGCCCAGCCAGGGTCCAGCTGCACAAAGCACAAACAAAAATCCGGCCCTCCCGAGCGCACGCGTATCACAGCTGCGCGCCGGGAAAACGACAACCAACCCACGGTGACCGCGCTGCAGAAAGAGAGCTGATCACTGCTAGGGAGCTGTTCTAGACCCCTCGGCTGGGAGCGAAGGTCGGGTGAGGCGACAATGAGATGCATGATTCCATCCATGGCATGGGCGTGGGTAGCGCGTGGACTTGCCACCGCCATAGCCCCTGGATTTCGCCTTACTTTTTCACGCTGGCCACGCCGTTGACGCTGCGCATTATTGTTAGGAGTCGCTCTTGCGCGCGCCCTAGCTGGGCCGTCTCGAGGGCGTAATTTCGACGGGCGCGCCACTTCACTCTGCACCGGCACGGCGGTCCGTCACGGGTCTGGCCGCAGTCGCAGGGTCCAGAGCGACCCTCAAGTTGACTACGACAAGTTGGACCTCAGCATGCCAACTCTTCGCGACCCATGCTGTGTTTGTGGTCCACCGGTGATGTGCAAATACGATTAACTCAGGACAGCATTCTTTGCTGGTGGTGCGAGACGAAATTCTGCGGTGGGCCGTTTCATCTATGCCACGGGACGTCGCGACGCGGCTGCAGCTTTCCCGAGTCGACCGAGCTAAGCCCGTAGCACTTGACTCACTTCCGATCACTGCGTCTGACCTCACTTTGAGCCGATCTCCAAAGAGTATGCCATTCCCGACGCAATGTAGCGGTGCTAAAGGGGCATTCCGGGATGATCTTCGCGCGGGCTCGGGGCTGAAAGCGGCTAAAGACGGCTCTAGTGGCCTGCTCCAGTGGTCGAGTCCGAGTCGCTCTCGTCTTCGCCATACACGACGAGTGCAGTTCCGCCAGAAGCCTGGCTTGAGCGCTCCGGATCGGCAGAGCCGGGCTCCGAAGCGCGCTGGTTGCTGTCTCTGCGCGTCGAGTCGCCGCGCAGCCCCTTGGGCGTGCGATCTCGGGCGAGAGCCGACGAAGGCGTCATAGGCTTGGACGTGGAGCTCTTGCGCGTTTCGCTCTCGCGTCTGCGCGAAGGCCGCGGCGTTGTGAGCGACACCTTGTCCCCTGCAGCCGAAGATGCGGCCGTTGCGGATGGCTTGGACGTGGACGATGAAGACGGCGACGTCGCTGGGCCGCTGCCGGATGCTGGCGACAGAGCTCGGCCACCGTCTAGACGGAAGTCTGCGCTGAGTAGGTGCCGTTCGCTGATCGCCCTGGGTGGGAGCGGCGGGCCCTGGAGGCCGAAGCGGTCCGGACTGTTGAGCAGCGAACCTGGATTCGACGACGCGGCAGATGAGGTGCCCGCATTGCCCTGGCCTTGACCATGACCCTCGCTCGACTTGGGTCCAAACGCGCTGGTGATGGATGTCAGACGTGGCAGCGAGGTGCTCAGAAGCGACGGCCCGCTGCTGCGTCGCGAGTTGCCGTTCGTGTGGCGTGGCGTGCTCTGTCCCGATCGCCTGCGCACGTGGCCGTCGCCGTGGTGAGAGTTGGGACTGTTGCTGCGTGTGACGGTGGTGCTGGTGTCGTCGATGTCGAACTTTTCTGCGTCCTCGTCGTCGTCCTTTCCGGCATTGTCGTCGTCTCCGTCATCTTCTTCATCGTCATCGCTGTCGTCATCGTCGCTGCTGTCGTTGTCGCCGTTGCGACCGTGCTTCGCGAACATTTTGCTAGGAGAAGCGCCGGTCGCTGCGCCCTTGCCCTTGTCGCCGCTGCTCGAGTCGTGGTCTGCGCCCTCCTCCACGACGACAAAAGACTTCTGCCTTTGGCGCTCGTTCCACTTGAGTGTGCGCGAGATGCTTTGGAACCAGTCGGTCGATTGATTCTCGGCACACACGGTAGGGAAGGGATAGCGACTCGCGGTCACCTTGATGTGGTCGCCCTGCTTGAGCTCCACGCGGCCTCGGCCATCGAAACTGGCCCACGCGGTGCTTCGCGAGTTGTACGGCACTGCGATGCGCAGCTCCATGCTGTCAGGCAGCAGCATCGGTCGGAAGGAGAGCGTGTGCGGGCAGATGGGCGTGATCAGGATCGCCGGGATCTCGGGGTGGACTAGACTGCCACCTGCCGAGAGCGAATAGGCCGTCGAGCCTGTGGGAGTGGAGATGCACAGACCGTCCGCCTGAGCGGTCGTCATGTGGTGCTCGTCGCCAAACACCTCGAGCAAGCTGACGTAGGGACTCGGTCCTCGGTCGACAACCAGGTCATTAAGCACCTCGAATGTCTCGACAGGCCGGGTGCTGAAGCACATGATCTCCTTGTCGCGACACTTTTTGCCGCCTTTGCCCTTCTTTCTGCTTCTCTTGTCCATCGACGGCAGCACCACCTCTTCGTCTTGGCGTAAGGCTGAGTGGGGCTGGTGCGAATCCGGATCGGGCGACTCGATCGCATCCCAGCCGCAATTCTTGACTGAGTTCAGGATGATCTCGCCCGTCTTGCCGGACTTGATCGCCTGTCTGCGATGACGGTCTGCCGAACTGGAAGTGGGAAGGGTGGCGCGGTATACGGTAGCAGTGAAACGCATGCGCAGGTTGACACGGATGCCGTCGTCCAAGGCCGACTTCATGACGTCCTTGTATGCCTTGAAGTCGAAGTTAGTCAGGAAGCCGAGCGAGCCGAGCGCAAAGGGCAGCACGGGCGGCACGATGCGCTGGAAGAGCCAGGAGCAGAACAGCACCGTGCCATCACCGCCGAGTGTCACCACAAAGTCGAAAAGGTGAGGCGAACGCGAGCACATGTCGGCGTTCCAGAAGCGGAGCTGATTTCCGCCTTCTCCCCTGTTGGAGGACCCGTTGCTGTCGTGGCCCGAGGTTGACGAGACGGAGGAGGAGAGGCTGGGCGTGCGCCTCGGTGGCCTCTGATCGAATAGGTGCGGATAGTCCCTGCGGATGCCGTCCGCGTCGAAGCGCTTGGACTGTCGGAGTTGCGAGTCGACGTAGACGGTCAGTCCTGTATCCTTGCCGTTGCGAGGAGTGGCCATGAGCCAGATGGCAAGTTCGCGGGTGAGCTTGATGAGGTGGTTGTCTCTGGCCTTGGTGATGATCATGACCGACTGGATGGTCGACTTGACCCTGGCGCGGCCGAGCTGCTTGCTCATTTCGCGCACGCCCACGGCGGTCTCTGCGAGCTGGCGGGTGAGCGAGCGAACCTTGTCCGAGTCCTCCTCGTCGGACGAGTAGGAGTAAGATGATCCGTAAGAGGAGCTGCGATCGGAGGAAGGCTGATGCGCAATGTTGTCGGCATCGCCGTCATCGTCATCGTCGCCGTCGTCATCGTCGGAGCTGGTGCGAATGCGGACACGTGCCGATGTGCGATCTGCGCTCCGTGCTGCGTATGTCGACGTCGCATCTGAACTCGAGTGGGTGTCTTCATCCGTGAGTGACGGTGCGTTGGCGGCCCGAGAGTCGCTGGAAGGCTCCGTGTCGTGCTTCGTGGAAGAAGCCTCGTCGTCTGCAGCAGTCGTGTCACTCTGAGAGAGCTGACGGCTAGGCTTGGGACGGTGTGATCGTTGGCGGTTGAGCTGCCTGCGTTGCTTCTTGAGGCTCTCGCCGAGGGCGACGCCGCGGTCGAGATAGGAGTGAACGAAGCAGGGGGAGTTGAGGGATGTGGTCGACTGATCGGATGCATGCGCGTGCGGCAAGGAAGACATGTCGTGGACCTTTGCGTGTGTCTTGTTGAGGGGTTCCGTAGCATTCACATTCTGGCTGGAGAGGCTTGAGGCGGGAGAGTCGGTGGTATCTTGGAAGATGCTGGACGACGGTCTGGAGGTGCATGGTTGGGGCGGCTCGAGCAGCGTCAATCCGGCGGATGGGTTGGTGGCCATGCCTGGATTGAGCAGACTCGGCTGGTGGGCTGCGTCGGAGCTGGAGCTGGAGGTTCGGATGGGGTCCGACTGGGAGTGTTGGAGATGGTGGCGCGGGTGATCCGACGCGGTCTGCTGCTGTGAAGCCGACATGATGACCGATGGCTGACAAGGTGAGATCCACCGAAGCGATACGCCGACCCAGGTTCCACGTCAACCCGACCAGGGCACAGGGCTTGGGATATCCAGGGAGAGAGGAGATGGCAAGTGGGAATGCGGTAGTGAGCCTGCTCGGCGATATCTCATGACATGATGATGTGCGGCCACCTCGGCGGCTGCACGTTCAAAGCAGCCGGCCCAACTCGATTCCGGCTGATGAGCAGCTGCTCTCCACAACGCATCTGACGTGCCTCTTTTGCTGAGCCAGAAATCGAGTGTCATCCCGTGCAGGAAAAAATGAGCCCAATCAGCTTTCTCAAAAAAATGCCTCAGGACCCTCTCTCGCTCCGGTCAGCGGTTTGCGTGCACGGACGGGCGTGCGTAGGATTTTTCCAGTAATTGTCTCAATCTTTGAGCCTAACACGTTCGCTTTCATCATCCGACCCTTGGTCGCTGTCAACAGAGCTGCCCTTGCATCCCACCTTTCGCAATGTGCGTCACCATGAAGGGGCCCCAAGGCACAAGGCAGAATGGGAAAGCTGCGCAAGTGTCAAGAGCCAAGAATGTTGCGAGAGGTGCAATTGGCTGCAGGCAAAGACGAGGCCAGGAACGAGCCGCCACGCGACTACAGCTACCGTTGTCGGTCCGGACCTCCAAAATTCGGGAGAACGCCAGCTGGATTTGCGCGAATCGTCCCTTGCCCGAGGCGGAGGCCGAGGCAAGGCGGAGCCAGCACGCCTTGACGCAGGAAGAAATCACTGCGAGAGACGCTCCTCACCACCACTCGGCGTCTCGTCCCATCGCTCCTCCTGCTGTACTGCAACCAAGCCGTACACAAAGAGAAGCCTGTGGAGGGTGGCAACAGCTGACGGCTAGCGGGCTCGCACACGACAGCCCGAATCGCTGCGTTCCTTCCATGTCCTATTCCGACTCTGCCGCCGCCCGCCGTGATCCGCCGTCCTCGGGCAAGAAGCACTATCGAGCCAAGTCCATCTCTCGCTCCTCGGTCGACCTCGACAACTCAGAGACAGGCGCTCTACTCTTGGCACCCAACGGCCTCACATCCGAAGCCGACGATCACCTCGGCTACCCCCCTCACTCGGGCTCAGCCGGTCCGGCAGGCGCCCCATCGCGCTCGTGCTCGCCGAGAAGGATGCCGCTCGGATCCAGGCGTCTCGCGCTCATCCTCTTTGGCTTTGTGGGCTTGTTAGTCCTCTTCG